CCCCAAAACCCCAAAACCCCAAAACCCCGCAGGTAAATCTTATCAATATATTTGATGGACAATAAAATGAAATATACCTAATTAAAATTATAAAAAAGCTTTTTAGAATAAAATAAAAAAGCAGCTTAAAATGTCCTAAATTAGAGAAAACTTAAACTCTTAATAAGTTTGGTATAATATCATTTTAACTCTCTTAGGTACGACTATGATACAGGCAAGAACTACCTCATCGATGAATCTAGAGGGTCGCAAGATCTTGCAGACAGCCAGGGTTTCATTGTCAAGAAATATGACCCTGCTGTTACTGGCAGATTTAATTATGAACAAAGAGCTCAAATTGAAAAGGATCGTCCCCCTAATTATGGGTAAATCGAACTTCCTAAAAGTCTGAAATCAAGCCATAAGAGAGTCTACAGCCCTTAAACATTTCTTCTTGATGGATATGCCTAGTGCCCTAGTCCAATTAGCAAGCCATATCAGAACCAGTCGACAGTTTTAAAGCGAGATTTCATTAAGAAGAGGACATCAGCTGATTGTGAGATTAATACTTAGTAAAATGCTGTCTATATAAAAAATAAGTGGAACAAAAATTTAGTTAAGAATACCTTAGAAAATACTTTCTTTCAAAATAATAATGTTGGAGTTTCACATCTAACTTCCCCTGCTAATTATACTCAAGACGAAACAATCATGTAGATGATGAAGCAGAGGAAAGAGTTTTTACTTTAGAGCGTAGAGAAGTATAGAGAAAAAATAAAGTCAGTCTCATTAGTAAGACCAGAATCCCCTTCTGATGAACCTGTGAAGATTTCAAAACCAACTTCTAAATAAATAAGACTGGATGCTTTAAATGATACCTTTTAAAACAATATCCCTGGTGAAACTATTAACGGCAGAACAGTTATGAAACCCGTATACAAATTAAGAAAGACAATTCTGTAGCCACTAAATGATTCATCTATCTCAGCACCATTAACAAGACTGTCTTAGACAATAAGAAACAATTCATCGCCGCCAGTATTAGACTATCAAGAGAATTCGACCTAGCAGAGTAACATCTTATCATTGAATGCAAATTAAACTACTGCAGCCACCAGCAGAGTTATGAATTCGATAGATCTAAGTGATACTAATATTCATCACTCGAGTTTGATATAGAGTCTTGGCAATAATGATTCCAATAAGAGATCCACCAGTATGATGAACTATGAGTCCCTTAAATAAAAGAAAATCAAGTTTTTGACAAATAAATCTCCAAGGTACAATGATAGTGGTCTTGAAGATGATTCTAGTAGTTTAAGTCCCTCTAAAATTTAGGGAACAATTCCAAACTACTCTATAAAATAAGGCTATAGGAAGAAAGTTAAGCCTTTTTTCCTATAGTAGAGCTAAGTTGTAAGCAGTAAAACTCTTGATGGCTAAGATGCTTTGAATGAGTATTTGAAATAAAAAGACCCAAGTTAGTAGCTCAAGTTTTTAGATTAGATACAGGTTTAGTATGATTAGCTATTGAATTTGGAGTAGTTAGAATAAAAAAGTAAAGTAGGCTCAACTTTGATGTACAAATTTAAAACAGAACAAGCAATTTTAGATAAATTAGAGGAATAATAGGATGAGATAGAGAAAAAGAAAACAAAGGGAAGATTTTAGGTTTAGCTTCCAAATACTTCAGACATCTGGAGAATTGACAGGTAATGGCAAATGAAGTCAAATCCGTTGGCAGCTCAAGAAGAAATCCGTCGAGACACTATTGATCGCAAAATCCTAGAAAAACGAAGAAATCAGCGTGTCTTAAAAAATTTAGCAATGGAATAATAATATAAGATTCCTATGAATAAAGCACGGGAAATGAATAATCACATTTGATCCTCATCATTTTGCATATCTTTTATTTCTAAATTAAGTAATATAAACTTAAATATGAGTAGCAATTGTTTAACAAAATTTTAACTTAAAATAATTAAACAAAATAACTTAATGCGAGAATGATTCTGAAACATCTAAGCTAAGAATGGTAACTATTAATACCAATAATTTAATCTTATAAACAAATGAACTCACTTAGTTTCCCATATTTCTCAATCTAGCTTAAAGACTGCTGATTCTTTTTCTTGGAACATCTTTAATGCTTCCTAATGATCTATCTCTTCTCCATTAAAATGCTGCTCTATAATCTCGGAGGCAATCTTATAGACTTCAATGTAGTCACAGATCTACATATCAACTAGCATACTGACTCCTCCAAAGTTTATAAAAATATTTTTAGCTCTGTGAGACTTGGTGAACAAGAATTGAAGAGCTTTCATTGTCAGATAAAGTATAAGACCAGAATCTTTATCATGGATGAAAAGATCTATAGCACTTTGAACAATACCAGAGTTAATAACTAGATCAATTACGTGATCATCTTCAATACTTTAGCAAATGTTACAAATTGTCCAAATTGATTCTTTTCTAATATCATAGTTTTTATCGTTGAGGAGAAGGATAAGTTTATGAATAATTGTAGAGCCAGCAACTTTCTCAGCATCTCTTGAAGAGTTAGCAGCAAAGTTTGAAAGTACCCATATGATGTTAATTTTATCAGTTTTACTACAGAATGACATATATACATCGAATTCTTCCAATATGCCACTGTTTATAAAGAAATTAGCCTATGTTTCATCTACTGCAGAGATGTCTCCGACATATTTAGCACAATGAACAAAATATCTGGGATTTTTATCAGTAATAAAAGACATCATGAGGCTGCGAACATGCTCCATCTTAGCAATAACCTCAATTTGAGCATCTTCACAATCTCTGGAGACGCAATCAACTATCACTGCTATATCTTCTTTCAACTATACTATCTTATTTGATTTTTCCTTTTCATTGGTTATTTTATTGTAGGTTTCCATGATCATCTTGTAGACTCTGCTAAGATTAACTGCCAAGAACTAATTGAAAACATCATGATGACTGGAAGTCATGTAAGCAAGACCAGTTGATAGCCCAGACAGTAGCCAAATAACGACTCTCCATATCTGATCATTGAATTGTTATCCATAGGAATGAATAATAACTCCAATAGAGTAGTCAATCCTAATATCAAGAGCATGTACTCTAATTTTGGCAGAATCTAATATAATGTTTGAAATCGTCCATAGAGTTTGTTCTAACAATGAAGCTTCTTATGATGTTAGAAGGTTTTATCTCTCAATTTACCCTAATATCTAATGGTTGTCTATGAAGTGATAATGTAGGAGATCTTTCAAATGTTCAAGAATATTTAGATCAGTACCGATATAGTTTGAAAGCTTGTTTTCACATGCTAGGGTGCATAGAGACCACATAGCCTCGCTCTTAATCTCAAGATCTACATCTCCATCTTTGATAATGTCAAGGAAAGTTCCCATATGATTTCTATTTTTCTCAAAATAGTAGATAATGTGATCACTAGTTCTCTCATTTGTGATTCCCAGTCTAATTGATCTTACTACTTTAAGTCTTTAGAGTTGATTCTCTTGAAATCTTGAGTGAGCCTAGTTCAGAAACTCAATCATTTAGATTAAAGTGGCTTCATCATTAATGGGTATGAAATCTTGGCTTGTGAAATCTTAGAAGGAGGATCCACTCTTGATAACCTCTTAAGTTCTTTAAAACATACTCTGCATATTTTCTCTTCTCTTTGACTAAAGCACCTGCTAGTGCTTGTTCTTCCTAAGTGAGATTGCAAACTGTTCCCGCTTTTTTAATGCTGAATTTTAGTCTGAAGCTTGATTCTTCTCAAAAACCTACTTCATATTGCACTTTTCATAACCATTACTGCTATCAGTGTTTGTAGACTATATAATTTTGTAAAAATCTAAGATTTTATCGAAAATCATACCATTCTTTACTAGTTAGCGGAGTTAAAGTTCTCTTGGTTAGATGTAAAACTCATTTTATGTTATTTGACGATTGATTATGTTTAAATTTGAATTATATAATAAAATACTTTGCAAAGTTTTATTTCTGATATCCACTCAATCAAGATGAATTATTCTGTACGGGGTTTTGGGGTTTTGGGGTTTTGGGGTTTTGGGG